TACTGTAAACATTAATGTAATACGATCTTTTGCTTTCTTTTGTCCTGTTACAGGGCCATGTGCTAATGTTTTAATAGAATTCAAATGATAAAAAAGTGCAGTTTCGTCGTAATTGAAAATATTTTCAATTGGATATAATTGAATAAGTTGTTGTAATTCATTGCGGAAACGTGGCAAGTTTTCCAAAGGTAAAGAATTAGCTTCACCTTGACGAATAAATTGGCTTATATTGTGACATTTTTTGAAGTTTGTAATCCACCCAGGAGAAGCTTTGAAATCATTAATGTTTATCTTGTCCGCAAATTCTTGTGCTTTAACTTTTAATATTTCATCAGTAAGAGCTTGTTCATAATATATAGCATGTTCAACCCACAAAGTGAGTGCTGATTCAATGGTAGGAAACCTCACAGTCTTACGGCACTTAGAATTAACAAGTGGTGAATTTTTATCTAAAGCTAACCAAATATCTTTTTCTGCAAGAATATCATGAACAGTGTTGGATTTTATTCCAAACTCGATTGCTAATGCCTCCAATGTAATATTAGGATGTTTTTGCACTTTAATACAAAGAGTTTGTTTTTCAAGGCCAGTTAGCGTCTTTCAGTTTATTTTTTCTTTACTGTTTTGTTTCTTGAATCGGTTAAAAATGACATAACATTTGAAGAACCACTTGTTGAACTTTCTTCACAATCGTTCATCCTGAAATATTAATAAATAAATGTTATCTGTGAAATATGTACACCATTATATAATTTTAATGAAATTAAATTACCACATGTAATAACAAGAAAGGTATTGCACTGAATGCCAACAATTTGAAACTGGTGTCTGGCACATATATCAAAACCTGAAATTATTATGTAATTGATATGTGTAAATCCATAAGAGGCATTTCATCTTTTTCAGATTGATCACGTCCAAACCAGAGATAAGGTATGTATTTGTCCCTCATACTCCTCACTTTTCATGTCTGGCTAATTATCAAGCTTTTTGCCATTTTGAAAATTAACTAAGAAACTTTGATCGGTTATCGAGGTGTGAAATGTTAGTAACTCCTGGTTCAATCTGTTAGGCACGAATCCATCTATAACTGCCCTTGAGTTGAGAACTTTTACTATGATCAATGTGTTGGCATATTCTTCTATTAAAAATTTTTCAGTATTTTCAGCCGTAATGTAAAATAGGAGGTCAAATTGATAGGTGAGTAATGCTGCTCTGGCTTTATTGAATCTCCTGAAGGTAAAAATTCGTTTCAGGCCCATACATCTTTCTGGTGGATTTTTTGATTTCTCTCTTCCAAAATCAATCCATTTCAAGATCACGTCAATATGAAAATGATTTATTATAGACGAATTGTCCAAAATGATATCTCGCAGTATTTCGCTTCATCCATGTGGGACAATGTCCTATCGTGAGTTCCCACATGACCATCCCTAGGCTATAGATATCAGAATTAAATGAAAATGGTTTTTTGTCAATTATTTTGGGAGATCCTTATTGAAATAGTATTGGAGAACAGGATCGTGTATATTCTAAGGAATAATTTTGCTAAATGAGATAATCTTACCATAGTAACCATTTCGAAAATGTGTGAGATGACTTCCTCCACAGCATCCCTTAATAGCATCCATTCCCGGTGGATCCAATGGGCTATGTTGTGTCCTAAGATCGGGCTCTGTTGGATCCCCACCTTACCAATATGTTCCAGGCAGTACTCTGGTTGATGTATAGGCATTTATCATCCAGCAACAAAGAAAAGCACAGATTGGCCAAATCTTTGGAGTTCAACAGATACCATTGATCTTGTGAATTAGGTGATGATGAATTCTCTTGTTACTGTCACTTGTGAAAACTCCATTGATAATTTAAATATTCTTCAAGATGTAATTTCCCGGTCACCTCGCTGATGTCAAAATGATCTGTGATCTTCAGGAGGTCGATGCAGAGCATCCCATCCAATTCCAATTCGTTCACATTCACCTCACTCTTGTAAAAAAATCTGTTGGGATGGAGAAAAGGATTTAGTTGGATGGGTGGATAAAGAGAAATACCACCCTATCAATAAAATCAGTTCACCTCAGAAACCCTTTTACAAAAATAATTACATCATTTATAATAAATTTCTTTATTGTTTTACAAGGCATACTTTCAATAATACACATGCCATTACAGTTACAAGATCGAAATAGAAAAAGAAGAAAAAAAATTACACATTTTATATACAACCAACCACTAACCATCATGGATGCTCTCACAACACTCTAAAATACATGGTTCCACGGCGAGACGTGCGTCCAGTGTAATTCGAGAATGTCCCAGACTTTGTGATTGTGAAAATTCTTGAGGTTGTGCAGCTACCAGACCATGGTGAGTGGTTGTATTTTTCTTGTAGGGAAATGAATGACTCCCACCAAGAAGAATAAAAAGAAGTAAATAGTGTTAACATGTGAAAATGTAGTATAGTCAGTACTTTTAGGCACGAATAGTAGAATAGAGTATGAAGGCCCGGGGTACGGTGCACGACACCTGATGCATCACTTTATGCATCAGTGGGTCTGCAGGACGCGTCGCAGGTGGGGAAGACGCGTCGCCTCTCATATAAATAGTCATAGAATTACATGCAATAGAAATGTATCTTCCTAATAAAAGATAAGAATCGCTTAATCAATAAACCCAACTTGCTATACCTTGAGATACATAATTAATAAACTTGCCTTAGTTAGTTATTCGCCATTGAAAGAATCCTAGAAGCCCACATAGAATTGTGGTAGAGGATTAGGCCGGCAATACAGGAGAAGAAAGCTTATTAATACGTACCTTTGGTGTACAAACGATACAAGACCCCTACTCCTTATCGTTACGTGAGCCTTAGCTTCGTATTAGCGACAGACTCGCTGTAGCCGATAACAATAGCTATAGTGTCTTCTCCCTGACACATTAATATTCAAAAAATGCAGTAAATATATATATATATATATACATATTTATTTATTTATTTTGTCATTGTTTGTAATCCATCTATCATCTCTATGAAAAATTTTTACACTTGATTTCACCTGTTTCCCAACTTCGAGCAAATCATATTTGTTGTCAAATTAGGATAGTGTTTTGTTTTGTTTCATTTTAAGAAGTACTTCTTGTAAAAACTATCTAATAATACTAACAGTCCTGGAAAAAGGACATCTCTGATGGAATGACATAAACCCTGGTATGATAGATCTAACTACAAATAATATGCAATGGATCCGAATGAAAGAGTTAATTAAACTTTCTCCAAAACAAATATTAGTAGTATAGCTGATTTTCAATTATGAGATTTAAGAATGAATCAATCAAATGAAATTCACATAATTACTTTGGTATATTGAGATCAAATTATTATAGTTGATTAGTCAAAAATCTTTGGCTTATCGTTTAACATGAATTTACTAATTAATTTCAGCTTAAACTATAATAAAATTTTGGGAAATCAAAAAAACTTCGGTTTAATACAATTTCAGCTTAGTGTGACTTTGGCTTATCGAGTTTTACTTATATTAATTAAGTATAATAATAGACTTTAGGATGAATGATTGGAAAGAAAATCTGATCGATTTAGATATTCTGCAAACAAGAAAAGAATGAAACACTATGTAAGATGTGACAAATCTCATACTAGCTTGTATGTAGAGCACTGAAAATCAAGGTTGAAGCTAAAAGAAGAAAGGAAGATTCATTGAATTAAAGTACAGAAGTTCAGAGGTGAAGAATTTGAAAATCCATATATATGGCTAGAATCATATGAAAAAGCAGCAAGATTAAACAATTGGACAAATGCAAAGAAATTAAGAATGGTAATAAGTTACCTGGAAGAAATGGCATCAGATTGGTATAAGAACCATCAAGACCAAATAGAGTATTGAAATGATAAGCAGGAATATTGAGCAAGCTTCGTATCACAATTCCTACATTACTTTGTGTTAACAAAACAGCAGTACCATTGGCAAATAGAACTGTTCAATCTAAGGCAAAAGAATAATAAAAAGGTAATAGTATATACTCACAGATTTTGAAGACTATTGAAGAGGATTGACCCCAACAGTGATTATTCAAAAATCTGTATGGCAAGAATATTTACAAATGAATTGAGAAAAAGAATAACATCAGTACCAGCCATTAGAAATACAATTATACTGAGTAAAGCAATCCATGAAGCCAAGCAATTTGAAAACAAGATAAATTTTGTTGTATACTAGAGCTATAAAGAAATAGGAAGAATGAGAAAAATGGAAAATGATATTCAGAAACTGCTTAAACAAATAAAAAAAATAAAAGAAAGCTATAACAAGTCAAAGGTAAGCAGGCAAGATACAAGCCAAGTAAGAAGCCTGATCAGAAACGAATGAAGTTGCTTTACATGTGGAGAAAAAGATCACTTCATTAAGAATTGCATCAAGAAGGACCATCTGGCGAACGAGACCAACCAGATCAATGAAGTTCAGTTTTGTGACATGGAAAAAGGTAAAAGGTCAGAAAAAAAAGCCTACGCTGATAAATATTAAGATGTAAGGGGAAAAAGAAAAGAAACATCAGAACTGAACTCCTTGTGAATGGATGATTAAGAAACAGGCTAAGATGTGATTCGCAAACATATAAATATGATGACAATCAGCTTCTAATTAACATAGATGAAGAAATAGAAGAAGTACTATCAATCAGAAGGAAGTTATAATGAAAGAGAAGATCATTAGAGATAGAAAAAATGCTATTATATAACATTCTAAAAAATATTCTATCAGCACCTGTACATGCCATAATTGGACAAATGTTGCAATTCCAGGAACTGAGGAAAATGTTGATATAAACAATGCAAAGACTTCTTATTGAAATGGAAATAAATTATATTGTGATGAAAAAAAAAGAGAAAGAGAAGATAATAAAAAAGAAAAAGGAGACAATGGTGACAAAATGCCAAGTAAGAATTAAGAATACAAAGGTGGAAGCAGTCATCAACATTGAAGTGACAATAAGCCTTATGTCAAAGAAACTAATGGACTGACTAAAGCTAAAAATCGATAAGAAGTTGACAACAATGATAGTCTTTATTATTAGATTGAGAACAATAGCATTAGGTAATATCAGTAACTTGAAGATATCAGTACAAGGAGTACTGATTCCAATACTGATGCAAGTAGTCAATTTCAAAGATAAAATACTAATCTTAGAAAATGACTGGTTCGAGAAGATCAAAGCTAGAATCTATATTGATAAGCAAAAATTAATGTTGAAATATAATAGAAAGAAGATTAAGATTTCTATAACAAATAATAAAGCAAAGAAGATACTTGAAAATGAAACTGACAGTAATAAACAGCTTGACAAGGAACAAGTTGACAAAATACTGAAATCATATATAAAAAAAGAATATGAAAGAAAAGAAAAGATACTATATAGAAGAGTTATATAGTAACCCAGATTCCAATAATAATATATGATCTGAGTTATGTAGTAACTCAAAAGTTCAATAATAGGATGAGGTTTAAGGGATCAACCCTTATAGTATACTTTGCTCAAATAAATAACTTGGCACCTCTAATAGAAAAAAATGCAGAAATGGAAACTAATGATAAAAAAATAGCAGAAAAGAGAAAGCATTAGAAAAGATAGTAGAAAAAGTGAAAAGTGAGGGCAAGCAAACAGAGGAAGTAGCAGTTGATTACAATACCTTCTTATCTGTAGATGATTCCATAGCATTTATCGAGAAACTTCTAATACCAATAGAGATAATACAAGAAAAAAAGGTAGAAGAGAAAATCAAAATACTAGAAACGGATTGTTGTTTCTCAACGGCGAGTCAGTTGCTAATCCGGACCAATACTCGTACTACGTTGGAAGAGTAGATCTATGTCACTGGCGATACCAAAGGTACATATGGTGATAATTATCTTAATCTTCCTTTATGGTTAACTAGTCTCCTCTTTTAATCCCGTCCTTATTACACTACAAGGTCCTGGATTCTCTTTAAGACGATTAAAAGACAAATAAGGTAAGTTTACTAATTATCGTTGCACAGGTACAAGCACTTGGTTTTTCAAAGAATAGTATTTTATTAATTGATTCGCTCAGATACACTGTCTACGATCTATGATATGTTACATTCTATTTATATACCTTGCGATGCGTCTCTAAATCTATCGTTACGTAATACAAAATTACCAAACTTCTACAAACTCTGCACCTATCGGTCATGCATGATTGATGCATGATAAATACCCCATGCGGC